TGTGAATACAAATATATATGATAATGAGATATGAGACTCTACGAGGATATTACACGATCTGTGTGACAAGAAGCTATGATTATATGTCTATTTGATACGAATGTGTGAATATGGGACAAACATAAATATTAATACCCATGTTATGTGTCTTGAGAGCTAGAGGTATAATTGGCATGCAAAGAGTCGAGGGTCTATGTGGTCCTTCGGGACATATATTTATTCTTTGGAACATGTGTGAAGTCAGGTGAGACACATACTTGATCCCTAGTATGTTTATATGATTCTTAAGGAATGATATATGGTCCTTCGGGACATATATGTATTCTTTGGAACATGTGTGAGGTCTTTTGGAGACACATACTTGATCCTTGGCATATGTATATGATTCTTAAGGAATGATATGTGGTCCTTATGGACATTATTATATGGCACTACGGTGCAATTCTATGTGGCACTCCGGTGCAATTCTACGTGGCACTTCGGTGCATTTATACGAGCTGTGGTGACAGCATTAGTGCACAACCTCTAGAGACTCACATATCAATAGTTCTCACGTATGTACATGGGCTAATCAAGAGAAAATAACAAATATATGTTGTGATATGATAAATTTAATAGCAAGGACATGAGATGTATAGGTTAAGTATATATGTTATGTGATTAAATGATAGTGACTAGTGATGATTTATATGTATGCATGTATTGCTTATTAGATAATCTGATATGATTTATGATGATGTCAGTATTGCTTGGTTAATTGAATGATACGTTGAGTAAAAATGGATATATAAGAGGATATAATTATAAATATAATGTTAATAATAATAGTGAACAAAGGTTAGAGATTTAAAATAATGTGTGATATGTATATGTTATATATATATATATATAATGTTATATCGTTTTGATAAGGTATTATAAGATTGTATGTTCATGCTTGTGTGATTAGTTAGAGTTCTTTTATAATTTAATGCCTCACTAAGTCATCGGCTTAGCGTGTGATTGTTTCACACGTAGGTTAAAGAAGCAATAAGAGAAGCGAAGAGGAGCAAGACAGGTTAGCAACTCCCTTACAAATTTCAGATCAGAAATAGATGATTTAAATGGTTTGGTTAATTTGAATATATTTGGCATGTACTAGTTGATTAAGTTAAAGATGCTCTGATCGATTTTTGGTTATTGGGGTCAATTTATGTCAATAAACTGCTATTATTTTAATGAAAGTTTTAAATTTTCTTTGAATTTTGGTCAAGAGTCAAAGTTTGAAAAGTCAATGTGACACCTCAGACTCGTATTCTGTTCGGGTACGGGTTGGGGCTGTTACTTTATCCTTACTTACAGTATCGATACCTTACCTTTGGTATCGATACTACTTCAATCAGTATCGATATTGTTCATCTTATTCATACCATGTCTTTCAATTTAACCCTATAGTATCGGTACTGTTCTTTCAGTACCAATACCCTTACCCAGATTTTACTTAATCAATTTGAAATTTTCCCACACTTCACTTAAATCTTAAGCTTTTAGCTCCAATCAAACCCTTAAACCTGTTAATTTACACTAACTTGTATCCATTAATTACCCTTTTAACTTCCAATTCTCTATGGAACACTTAAAACTAAAATTCATACCAAATATTCAAACATGTTATCAATCATTTCTAAGACTTCAAATCTTATTCACACCATTGACAAGTCAAATATGCTTTTTGAATCCAATTACTAACCAAATTTCATCCATTCACTTAAAAACTCATTTTACTAATTCACTAATAATTCCTTAATCACTTAGTTTCTTCATCTTTAAGTTTCCTTAATCTTATATACCACTCAAAGCTTTAAAACAAACCCACAAATTAAAGAAACAACCAACTTGAAACATATCTTACCTTAGAAATGAAGTCACGGGGAAAAGAAGAAGAAGAAGATAAAATGCTTCCATATTTTCTTTTCACTATCTCTATGCCCACATGCTTAAAATATCCTTTAAATGAATTTTAAATTCATTTCCTGCAAAAATATCGTAATGTCCTTCCACTCTTCCATCTTTGCTATAAATCCTAGACACAAATCCTAAAATTAGTCCTTGAACTTTTAATTTATTCAATTTAAACCACTAAAATATTAAATTATTACACTGTAGTCACTGAACCGATGTTTGGGGTATTACATTGATGTGGAGGCCATAGAGCTTGTTGTTATGTTTTTAATGGTGAGGTACTAAAATGGACCAAAAAACTAAATGTAAGGTATGGTTTTGAAAAGAAAATTTTGAAAGTTTAGGTACTAAATGGATCAAAACTGATAGTTTAGATACTAAATGTGTAGTTTATCCTAATTAATTTTAATAGATTTTTTAAATCATTCATTTTAATTCAATTCAATTCAATTCTCAATTTTTTTTCTATATTAATTTTATTTTGGTTTTCAATTTATTTTACTAGAATGAACTAGTTTTAAGTTTTTCACACCTATTTGATAAATTTTTTTTATAATTTTTTAGATAGATAATTTTAAAATTTATTTTATTTTTTAATTAAAAATAATTAATAATTCTTATATAATAAAATATTAAGGTGATGTTTTATGTATAGCTTTTTTAATTTATTCATTATTTGAAAGATAAAAATCTTGTTTTTATTATGAAAAACAAAAACAATTATAAAAATAAATTTAATTAAAATAATCACATTTTTTAAATTTATATTTCATAAATCGGCTGGGTCGATTTTTTTTCTCAGCCCTAGATCCACACAAACGATTTCCCCCGATATTAAATCAACACCATTTCTCTAGGGTTTCAAAGCTGCCGCTGCTTCTTTGCTTTCTGCAAGAGAAAACCGAAACGGTCTGCCCGCGCCTGTTCTCCTTCACTTGGCAGCCATGGTGCCTATTTTTCTACATCTCTTTCCTTATACAGATGTACTAATAATATACTTATCTACACCATTGAAGTTGTACTTTGTTTCTTTGGTCAGATTATTCCAGAGAAGAACCGTAGAGAAATCTCCAAAACCTTTTTCAAGGTGCGCATCACTTTCTCAATTTTTCTTGTAATTTGTTAATGTGAAACGTTACTAATTTTTCGTTTCTTAATTGCTTGATCCCTTGAGAAACTTTAGCTTAATTTTGATTCATTGTGACTAGTCCTATGTCTTTTGTTGTTGATGGGAAAATAAAGTGAGCTTTTATTTTATATTTATTCTGCTTTGAAGCATTTAAAATAGTTAGATTTTTTTTAGTTCCGTCCGTGTTTATTTTTATACCTCAAAGCCGAGATCTCAGCAGATGATTGTGTTGTGTTTCTCATTGAAAATTGTTTGTGATTTTATAGAGGGAGTTTGCTATGCAAAAAGGATTACAATCTTGCAAAGCACCCCGAGATCGATGTGCCAAATTTGCAGGTCATTAAACTTATGCAGAGCTTCAAGTCCAAGGAATATGTCCGCGAGACTTTTGCTTGGATGCACTACTATTGGTACCTTACTAATGATGGAATTGAGTTTCTCAGAACTTACCTTAATCTTCCATCAGAAATTGTGCCTGCTACTCTAAAGAAATCTGCAAAGCCCCCTGGTAGGCTAGGTGGCCCACCCGGCGATCGCCCCCGGTAATGCATCTATGAGGGCTTGATACCCTCTTCCCCTGATTTGTTTAAATTTGATCTTTTCCTCTTTTAGTTTGTTTGTGGTTGTTAATGAAGTCTTGCTCGTCTCAATTTTAGGGGTCCTCGCTTTGAAGGGGACCGTCCAAGGTTTGGTGACAGAGATGGGTACCGTGGAGGACCTCGTGGGGGTGACTTTGGTGGTGACAAGGGAGGTGCCCCTGCAGACTTCCAACCATCGTTCAGGGTAATTTTACATTTTGAATTTGGTCTGTGTTAATGGATTAGATCGATTCAACTTACTTTTATGTTATTATCGATACAGTTCGATAATAAATTATACAATGAAATTAATGTAAAATTAAGGTTTTCTTACTGCTTTAGTTGTATGTTAAATTTATACAATGAAAGCATTCAAGAGTATCTTAATTAGTGCTTAATTTTAGGCTCTAGCTTGATAAACGTTGTTTGTTCTCATACTGACTTAAAATTCTTCCAATGATCCCCTTTGTATATTATTGAGGGATTTAGAACTTAGATGATTGTTTGGATACAAGGTCAAGCGAGTTTACAAACAATTTCAGAATGGAATTCATTTTGCTTATATTGGTAAAGATTGAGCATTCAGACATGTCACTCACCGGCAATCTTTATAATATTTTACTTAATGGCGATAGCAGTTTTTAAGTACAACCTCAGAGCTTTCCTTATTTAGGGAGGCTAACTCCATTTTTGTGTTATGTAGAACTTGTGGTGAAGTCCTTGTTTTGACTAATGCCCAATCTCACTTGCACTTGGTACTGTTACTAATTATCGCATGCATTTATGATTCTGCTTCTTTGCTTTTGTTGTGCAGGGTTCCGGTGGAAGGCCTGCCTTTGGTCGTGGAGGTGGAGGCTATAGTGCAGCTCCATCTGGTTCTGGTTCTGGTTTTGCTTGAACCATTTTTTTTACCTGTTGGTTTGAAACATAGTATTGAAGGAACCTTAGAACTAATGCTTTGTTAGCGTACTGTTTTAGCCTTGGTTCAATGTGGAACTTATAAAACTTACAATTTTATGTCGAGTTTTGTGGAATGGAACCGTCTCTGCTCGCTTTTTACTTCAATTTTTTCCTTTCCGTTCTTCCAGAGGAAAACAAATAGTTTTATAAAACCATGTATACTTAAGATTGTTGCTTTTATTTTTTCACGGAATTTTAACTTAAGATTTGAAACTATTCCATCAAATACTAAAAACCCAAACTATGATAAACGAAGTACAGCATTTCTTTTAGTTGTTTTAATGCGGACAAAGAAAACAAACGAGAGAAGCAGCTATTGGATTTAACAAAGCTGAAGATTGACCAACAAATGGACCAGTATATATACTCCCGTATCGCTTCCCTCAGCATCATCACCGCAGTCCACCACTGTTCTCATCCTTGTCGATACTCAAACCCAACTTCAACGTTCTCTGAATCATAGCAGTGAATCTGTTCAGATCATCAAGGCTGAACTCAGATGCCAAAAGAGCTGTCTCAAACAGCAGCAACACAAGATTAGTTATCGGGCTCCGCTCTCTTCCTAAGCTCTTCCATTATCAGAGTTGATCTCCATTGTTTTCATGCTAGACATGTAAGAGCTCATGCCGTTGTCCCTCAAGGCCTGGGCTTGTTGATGAGTTGCCATTCATGTCGCATTTCCTTGATCTTCTTCCTAGATTTAGTCTTCTCGTCAAATCTTCAACATCTCCTTCCTCTTTCTCAAGCTCACCATCTTCGTCATCACTAATCTCTTTCTCAGTTGTCTCAATCCAGAGGTAAATTAGATAGCTAATGCACTCATAGTGCTTCTTCACAAGGTCCCTGATCCTCCTTTCCTCCAACTACTCCATCTAAATAGACAATTTTCCAACTATTAGTAAAGAATACAAATGTACATGATCAAATCTTTTAAATTCTAAAAATGGGTTATAAATGTTTACCTGATCTTCTTTGAGGAAAAGGGTAATTTGAAACCCTACCGAACTGATCTCCATTAACATCCCTGGTCACAGTGAAGGAGCCAACTTGGGGATTCCTAGATGTCTGTTCATCAGCATTGTGCATTGTGGTCTCAATGACTTTCTCAGCGACCAAAATAAGCGGAGTAGAAACCGACACCGAATTGATTAACTGCAGCCTCCATAATTCCTTGGTTCTAGACCATGCAATTGAGCCCAAGTTATTCACCAAATCTTCGTAAAAATAGCAAAGTTCAAGCAAAAAACAAAACAAAACATGCATCTCTTCAGATGACAATAACGTCAATAGAATCTTGGAAAAATACAAATGCCAGTTACCTGCTTTAGACATGCCGATACCACCGTCAATGATCGAGAGGATCATGTTAACCTTGTCTGGTACGAGCCTAATGAAAAGCTCTGGTTGAGCATCGAGTTTGCTCTTATCGGCCAGACACTCAAATGATAGTATGAACTAAAATGATCTCACCTCACATCTAAAGATTGAAAATCGATAGCATAAAACAACCCATATTTTAGTTTCATCCAACTGTTGTTAACTGAAATGCTATAATTTACTGTTGTAATTGTAGTTTTGTAACTGTAATTTGCTGTTATAACCTGCCCTGTTATGGTTTTACATCCTTGGGTTGTGCAAAATAAATAATGTAGGATCAAGTACAATCCAGAAGCTATATTAGTTAAGTTTTAGTAGCTTAGAATTAAAATATTTTTATAAAATATATATAACTAATTTCAGTTAAATATTACTTTTATAAATTATATAACAACTATTAAGCTTGATTTAATGGTTAGATCTTGGACCCTTTTACAAGGGTATCAAATTTGAATCATCTCCATAGTAAACTATTTGATGCATTTTTATCGACTAATAAAATAGTGGCCTTTTTATTGATGAGCACTAGAAAGAATTATTCAATTAAAATGAAATATTGAGGGCTACAATACTTAAAAAAAATAAGATCAAAGTGATTATCTAATCACGTGTTAATGGCACTATATCTATGCCTATATATTATTTATATATCATATAAATTAAATTTATAATGTACAATATTGTAATATAACATAAAAATTAAATTTAATGAAAAGAAAAATATTTTTTAAAATAACAAAATAATAATATGGACAAGTTAAAAACATGCTTTAGTTATTTATAAACATGGACGAATTTGGACAAAATTTGATGTTAATATTGTGCTTGAATAAACATGAAGTGTATTAATCTAATATATAAGTGACTCGACCATGAAAGTCTCTAAGCCCCATTTCGATTTTATTTGAACAGACTTTTGGATCCAAAATTACTTTTGGAGTAATAAACAATGCTAACATATGATTTTTGGATTCAAAAATAAGTTTGAAAAATACCTTTTCATCTTAAACACAAAAGTTAAAATTTTAACTTTTGCATTTGAAAAATATTTTTGGAGCGACATTTCTAACCTTTGTTTGTTATCATATGACAAGTTTATTTATAATTTATAAATTCTATAATTTGTTATCAACAGATAAGCATATAACCGTGTGGTTTACTTTTTCTACATCTATCATGTCAACTTTTTTTATATAATTTTAGATAGGTTATTTAAAATCAGACGATATTGTAAACACATAATTTCGTCCCAGCCTTCTAATTCAAGTTTAAGCTTGTTGGCACGAATCAAGCGACTTAATTGTTCAATGATTTATTATTATTACTTAAGATCCCAGACTCAAACACTACATATGTCAAGGATATAATTTATTGTCAGAAAATAAAAAAAAATCCAACGAAAGCCATCAGCATTAAGTGACGAGTTGAACAAATCGTCGGCATTAGGTGACAAGTTCCACATGTCACTGTAGCTTTCACCCCATTTCCCTAATGAATTCATCATGATCCCCATTTCTCCATTTTTTTTCCAACATCAACATTGACCTCATTTAACTTGGGTTAGCATGAAAATTAATCCTTTAAAATATAACATTACGAAAAGCAAATTTAATATGATAATTGCACTGGACTGAAACAGATATGCACTAAAGTTGAGAAAGCATGAAGTACAGAGGTTTTTGACTTTATGGAACCGAAACCAGAAATTAAAAGTGCCATTATATGACTTATTCTATCCTTTTCAGACCATACCATGCTGCCACTCATCGAACCAAGATGCTCCCACACTGCTACTGAAGAGCGTAGTTATCAAGCAATGCATAGACATCTTATGTGTTCATAACTAATGGCAGCTCTAGATTAATGCATCATATTTAGGAGCCCCTTGGGTTGATTGGATCTCCAATCCAAATCTTATTATTATTCATTACCTGCCTCTCTTCAAATCCTTTCAGTGAACCCAGAAGAAACTGGTTGCTGAGATATCCAAGGGCTCTAACTATCCGTTTTCCGACCCTCAACGCAGGTAATCATCCCTAAGATGGTACAGATAACTATGGTATATGGAAAACTATCTAATGACAAGCAGCCATACACGGGATGGCATCATATAATTCTTGAGAGTTCGATGGAAGCAAAGTTACTACACACTCACGGTCTAAACTGCAGAATCTAAAACTAGGGAAGAAGTGAATGACATAGTTGGTGCCTACTGCATATCTCTTTGTTCTAAAGTTATCTAGTCGGCCAAAACAAAGAAACTTTGTACTCTGCTTTGAAGGCCATGAAGTGCAGTGAAGCTCCTAGATTTTAAATGCATATAATGTGAAACAGTATCGATTCTGCATTAAATATCAACTCACAACAGAGATGAATTTTAAGTAGGGATGTAAATGAACAAAGTGTTTGACGAACTGTCGTGAACTGTTCCTATAACGTTTGTTTATGTTCGGTTATTAAGCTAAATAAATGAGTATGAACAAAAATTTTATGTTCATTTAATAAACGAACGAACACAAATAGATGTGTTCAGTTCGTTTATTTTCACGAACAAACTCATTTATTGGCTTATTTATAAGTTCGTTTATCGACTCGTTTACTTGGTTCTTTTATTTATTTTTTTTTTTTAAATATTGATGAAGATAGAAACTAAATTAATATAATAAACTTTGGAGTTCAAACTGTAAAGCCTTAGGAACTTAAGGACTAATGGCATAATTTCACCTTTTTTTACTTGCAAATAAATGAATAAAAAGAGTGTTGGTTGTCAAATATTAAACGAATGTTCGCGAACGATAAACGAAGGAATAGGAATACCTTCAAAAAATGAATAATGAACACGAAAACGATACAGAAAATTTAAAAGAATACAAAATGCATGAACACCTTAAAAAATAAACAAAACACGAACATAACTTTGTTCGTTCATACTCGATTCATTTACACCCTTAGTTTTAGGGCACAAGCAAGAGTTGTATTTGAATACTAAATGAAATCCAATCATTTATCAGCTAGAATTTGAATCATCCATATACCAAGGCATCAGATAAGAACAATTTCTCGTACCTAATCAGATAAACTAGAGGAATTCACTCCAAAAGAATAAGATTCTGAGCGTGAAATGATTTTTGGTGTTCATTGACCAGATTCAAGAGATTGAGCAATTAAAATGCTTCAACTCAACAGGTAAGAAGACTAAACCTTCAAGCAAGAACAATTCACACCGACAAAATTTTCAGACAATCCCACAATGCAATTGAATAAACTTCATCTGGAATCAACAAACACAAAACCTAAAACCCAACTCTACAAGCTTAGCTATATACCAAGTTCAAATCAATAAATAGCAAGAATTCAAAGGCAAACTAACCTTAACTCACTGTACATAACTTCTTAAAAGATCAACTTCATTGTCCCCTACCCTCGGAAAATGAGAAGAAGCCACGCTTTTTGGGTTCTTCCTCGACCATAACAGCCTTCATACTATCCTGCTCAACGAGCCTCCAAGCAGCTTGCTCGAATGCCAATCCTGCAAGGGTCGGCGGCTTATTCAGAACAAGCGGATACCCTCTATTGGTGCTTCGAATGACCTCAGAATCCTCGGGAATCACCCCTAACAATGGCAGCCCCAACATCTCTTGAACATCCAAAACTGACATCATATCTTCTCCTTTTATCATATCGGTCCTTACTCTGTTCACTATCATTTTGATATCCTTATCCCATCACATTCTAACAGCCCCGTCACTCTATCCGTCCCTTAAGCTAGTTATGTCCGGCGTCGTCACCAGAACCGCCTCGTTTGCCGGAGTTATTGCCGTTATGAACCCTGCGTCGATCCCCGCCGGACAATCTATTAGTATGAAATCCGGAGACCTTTCCTCGCGCGCTTTGAGAGCATCGACTAGCCAAACCAACGCTTTCCCGCCGAATCCGATGGGGAGTTTCGATCTGGGCTTGGAAATGCAAAGCAATTCGAAGTTGGACCAACGCTTGTCTCGAACCAATGCTTGGTCCAGCCGGCAATCACCGTTGAGTACCTCGACGACAGTGTAATTCACGCGATTCTCGAGACCTAGGAGGAGGTCTAGGTTACGGAGACCAACATCGGCGTCAATTGCCACCACGAAGAATCCGAGGCGGGCTAAGGAAAGTCCGACATTAGCGGTGGTTGTCGTTTTTCCAACGCCGCCTTTCCCGGATGTTATAACCACCACGCGCGGCGTCTCCCCCGCCAGCTCGGGCTTTCTGTTCCATTGAAGGACAGATGAAATGGGGGCGTGCCTCGATTTTGAGTAGGGTTTTGGAGGCTTTAGGGTTTGCGGATTTGAAAGGGGTTTAAATGAGGGGTTCGGAAAAGTGGGATTAGGGTTTGAGGGAAGAGTCGTAAAGAGAGCATTGTTTATTTGGAATTTAGGAAGACGAGAAGGAGGATATCATTTTATTTTACGCTTGGAATTTGTACTATGACCCGTATCATTGTACGGTTGAGATCTACATCCTATCCGTCCAAGTGGGGAGAACCCTAATCGGACGACAATTGTTTACCCGAGTAATGGTACCTAGGCCTGTAAATGAATTAAACGTTCAGCGAACCGTTCATGAATCGTGCGGCGGTAAGTTCTTTTTTATTTATTAATGAACGAACATGAACAAGATTTTGCGTTCGTTTAATTAAATGAACGAACATGAACAAATGGTTCGTTCGTTCATTTACGTTCGTGAACGTTCGATTATATGTTCGTTTATGTTCGTTCATATTCATTATGTTCGTTCATTTATTCAAACAAAGAGCAAGTTGAATACGTTACGAAGATTATTGAAGTGTTTGGATTTCAAGAAGATTGTTTGGTTAAACAAATTAACTTTAAGACTTTATTATGTTCATATAGTTTTATTATTTATGTTTGTTTTTGTCGTATTCGAATAAATTAACTCTAAAGTTTTCGGTTATATAATGAATTTTAAGTTTTTATCTTGTTGTTTACTTTTTTACATTCGTTTGTTGTGTTCGAATAAGTTTTTTTTGTTTGTGTTGTTCGTTTATGTTCGTCCCCACACCCACTACCCAACTGGAGACGTACCCGGCTAGATCCACCTGACAGCAACATTAAGTTATACATAAGCAACAACATAAAACAAACACGTCCATTAATAAGCATAATAAAATAAATCAAGGATTATCTGAATTAAGTGTTAACAAAGATCTTAAAGTACATAAACACCATAATAAAAGACATAATTAAAGCTTAGAAACATAAATGACAAACACATAATATTTTTGTTCTTTGGCACAACATTTTCAAATTTCAAGCAATACTTGTGACATCTTTCACTCCAATATTACAATCATCATTATCTCTTTCCTCCAATTAAGAGCACTCCAATTTAAATTCAATACTACCTATATATAATAGAAGGCAAAACTAATATAAGTTAGTAAATAAACTTTAATAAGATAATTAAGCACAATTTGACAAATAACATAGACTAAATAATATTACCTTTAATATCGGTCCAATGCCAATTCTGAGCACACATTAATGCTTCAATCGTCTCCAAAAGTAGCGACTACGATAAGGACTGATTACTCTTCCACCTGTACTGAATGTATATTCTAATGGGATAGTAGAGAAATGAATGCTCAAATATCCTTTGCTATAAGTTGGAGAGTTGGATAACTATTTTCTTTTGTTTTCCACCAATTAAAAATATCAAAATCATCAACAAGTGGTATGTTGACAATTTCTAAGTACCTGTCCAAATCATATTTTTTTGAAATTGCATTATTATTTTGCTCTACAAATTCAGCAAACTCGTTCAACATTGTTCATTTAGTTAAATTATCCCTGATATTTGGTTAAATTATAAGTTATATCTTATACAATATTAAGATTTATAAATTAGTCTTTAAAATTATATATAAATTCATAATGGTCTAAAACTTAATGGGTATTTAGTGGGAGGCGGATGTGGGGGGTAAGGTCCAAACCCATCATCCACCCATTACCCGCGAAGGGTGCCACTTTCTAAATCCACATCCGCCACTACCCACTAAAGTTATACCCATCCCCGCCCAATTGGAGCAGATACGGTACGAAATCCACGAAATTGTACCCGTTTGTCATCCCTAGTTACAATAGAGAATTTTATAAATATTATCACATTTTAAATAACATCCAACTTAAAATGTTAAACCTTTTAATATTATAGTCGCATCTTTTTTTCATAATCTTTTTAGCTTAAATTAATTGTCTTTCTTTATGATTTCGCACTAAGAACAGGACCAATCCATTTAAACTACACTGTTTTATTATTTAGATTTTAAAATAATTGTATTTTGAGATGTATGACATTATTGAAGTTTCTTTGGTTTTAAATTTTCTAAAATCGTGTATGTATGTATATATATATATATAATTTTGCTTTCTTCCATGCCTCTTTCTCCATGCTTCAGTTTTACATTTATTATACAAGTGTGTCAGCGTTTCATCCAAGCATTTGGTGGAAAAGAACACATGGGTAAAATGCAATCAGGCCTGTGCCATAGGAAAGTTTCAAATATTACCTACAGAAATGGCAGCCTGTAGTTGGAATGAAGACTTGCCCAAGCACAAGGGTTCTCAGATAATCTTTTCAACGAGGCATGATAAAATTTCAGTTTGGAGGACAAGTGAAACATTTTACATTTGACATCCTCATTGGCTATCCAGAGTTTTAACCATTACAAAACAATCAATTCTTCCAGCAATCATTCCCACTCCCATGTCATGCCATTACTTCTGTCTCCACGGTCATTCAGGATCTTGTGAATTCTTTCACAGCAGTCTTTCCGAATCATGGAAATTTTGAGGTATTGTCCGTGTGGAATTCTGTTGCCAATGCTGCTGAAATGCACTGCCATCCTGAGCCTCAACTTCAGAGCTGCCAGATGGTTTGGCACCAGTTGTGACGAGGTTTTTAAACCAAGCTTGAAAACGGGGGCTTCCACTGTTTGAGTTGCCGGGGCTATCATTACCACCATTAGAACTAGACGTAACACCCACAAGAAAACGATATGCCACTTTGCTAGCTGATACTATCTCCGTCTTGGCTTGTCTCAACTGCAATAATTAACAGTACACTAACTTCAAGTACTGAACATAGCAAGGTTTCAAACTTCAAGCACTGACCATATTGCAATTTTCAGTTTGTGCCTCCTGCTTGTCAGTACACATGCTCAATATAAAATATAAAGACTATGGAAATGTACTATGCAAGCATTTTCTATCTTTGCAATATCAGGATAGGAATGCAGCTCACAATCAGATGTTAAACAAACTTTCCTATTTTGCAAGTTTTAAGGCAAACGCTTCCAACACAAAGCCTATGAAACAGACAATTGGTCCATAAAAGTTATAACACCTGAATACATCAAGAAATACTCGCACTTAAGTGATTAATAGGAAGAAGAAAAGCAATGACAAGAACAGATTCTCCTAGTAAATGTGAACATATGGTAGCATGCATAGCTTGTTTGATGCTAGAAATTTAGAGATTTTCAGCTGATTTATGCAATCATTACTGAAGAAGGGTCACTCACCCGTAAGGCTGTGTTTTCTGCTATTTCTATAGCAGAGTCACCAGCATTAGCAAAACGGTTGACCCAGCCTGTTAAAATTGTAAGAATAGCAAGCCATTGTAAGTTGAAATGAACCCACTGGGAAACACACTCGCGCACACACTAAGAGATCACATTTTATCTCATCAAAATACAGCCAGATATGGGCCAGCAGAACAAGTGAAAGTAAAATGATTTTCCTTAGCTTCATAACCACTGAGAATAAAGTAGCCCAAGCCAAAACCTAAGTAGTTGATATTCAGGTTTATCACCAAAAGGCAGATACATAGAACAGAATAAGCAAAGGACTAAGGTCATGGTTAGCACCCACAAATTAACCGTCTCCATTAAGCCCAACAGTCTACAACTTATATCAAGCAAAAGGCCAGGCCCAACTTACAAAGGTGAGGCACCTAATTGTTGTATTAGTATCATTTTTTTTTATAAGAGTTGTATTAGTATCATGCTATTCGTAAAATAAAAATAGGAAAGAAAAATCCCCCCTCTCCTTGAAAGTTCAACGAAAGGGCTATATTAAAGAATTTGACCATCTGAGAGCGGGTTTGTTGTATTAGTATCATGCTATTCATAAAATAAAAATAGCAAAGAAAAATCCCCCCCGGCGCTCCTTGAAAGTTCAACAAAAGGGCTATATTAAAGAATTTGACCATCTGAGTGGGTGGAAAAACTTATATAGGGAACCGTAAGTTAATAGAACCAAGCCTTTCGCAGACTCATCACAGAAGTGGTACAATTTTTGGATAACAAATCGTAGGAACTTCCGGCCATTTCTACCAAGCTCCTGCAAGATGGTTTACCTTGAATATACAAAAGTTAGTTCTTCCCAGGACCATGGACTCACGATATGTATACATTGGATTTTTTCCAGAAGGACAATTAAACACCCCAGACCCATGCTCACAGAAGCCAAAAGACCATTCCTCTTCTCCATATACCTACCAACAGGGAAAATTAAGTTATTAAACATTTAAACTAGAGAAGTAAAGCATCAATAAAATTTATGATAAAGAAAGTCACGAGAAGCTGACAACAATATTTGTGTACCCATCTCAGATGCCAAACCTGACCACATAAATACTGTCTGAAATGTTCACTTAGGGTAACTAATATGTCAAATGACATCTGTAAGAAAATATTCAGATACAATGATACATACATGAGTATCTGATCCTATGAATTACAGATTTGGTATAAACAAAGTTATCAGGCTCAAGGCGCATCGAGGTGCAAAGTCCTAGAGCCTTGAGGCGCGAAGGGCATGAAAGGCGCGGGATTCACAAAGGCGAGGCGCATGATATCCAAAAATTGTAATACATGTATATTAATGCAATCAAACTCAAATAGATACCCAATATTATCAAGTACTAAGTTTAACAAAAGCATCCAACATGCATAACAAACATCAAATAAAGTCACTGATAATCATCACATCAAACGGAAATGTCACTCACGTTTTTATTAATAGTAAACCTAAAAGTGTAACGGAAGAAACATTATACACTTATTTTTAATAAAAAAATTAAACATCAAAAATTAATTTAAATATGATTTAGACATTTCATTTTATATTAATTATTTAGAAAAGGTAAAATATAGAAATGTTGTTTTGAGGTAAAATTTTAATTACATTAAATTAATATAAACAAATATCCACATCAACCGGTCACAAACGTTCCACGTCATGACTTTATCCATTCCCACAGTACCCGCGACAACTAAAGATTTTTCTTCCCGCCAATCAAAATACGACACGTTACCATAGCTTTTGTGTTTAAAATTACTCACTAATCACTTCCTCCATTTCTTCTTATTCGTACGAAGACAAACCACCGTTCAAAATCCCCCTCACCGACCTTTTTGTTCTTTGAGAAATGAATCCAAATAAGACATCGGAGGATGAACAACACCCATCCATCGCTGCCGTGAACCGCCGTATCCAATGGCTGTCCCTTCACCTGACCCCACTTCCACCACTCAGCTGATATAGTCAGTCTACACCAGATCCGGAGGTCATGCCACACGGTCCCATTACTAGGTCAAGGGCCAAACAATTCAGGGAAGTGCTCTTAACTAAGTGTCTTGAAGCTTTTGATTCATTTGATAACTTAACACTCTCTAATGTTATGTTATATAATGTTTTAATAGCTAAAGAATAACTTAGTATGAATTCATATTATACATGTTATTTTAATATGTTAAACATGTTAGGATAGTTTTATTATCATATAAGCATGATTAGTATATATATCAAGGCAGCATACTTATATTGCATTTCATTAGTTTATTTGCATCATATTAACTCTTAGGCTTTATACATTATCTTACACATATAGGAGATGATACTTAGCTCATGACATCATACTTAGCTCACATTACCATAAACAAAAGGCAGCAAGGTATTAGCTCGTTTTAGCTCAATATCATGAACTTACCTTGTTTCCTTGCACATATAGGTACAATGGAGTATGATGCACGTTGAGGTAGCTTGGTGACGATTTGGAAGTCACATACGCTCACAACAGCTCACAAAGTACAAGGCAGCTCATGGAATGCTAAGGGAAGCTCGATTCAGCTGGAGAAGCTTCAGGCTAGCTAAACTTAGCTAGTTGGACTATTTGAAGCTGAGTTGCTAAAAGTGATGACAAAGGTAGCTGAATGTAGCTGAACATGCTGTTATGGAGCCAAAAGGACTCGGCTAGGAAGATCATTCATAAACAGCCCCATTCCTTGCTAGCTAGCTCAACAACTCAAGCTAGCTTGGAAGGAGACACATGCCGCCCAAGATGGAGCACCATGACCAGCCATCAATTCTATGCGCAAGGCACCCAAGCATCCTAGAGAGGCCATGTGCACGCCTTGTGACCAGACCACCATGTGATAGGCGTGTGACTTCATTTAGGCGCCAAGATGAAGAGTCCTCTTACCATTCGGCCAAGCACTCCTTTCTCTAATTTGCACCACTTGAAGGGTACAAGCACTATTCGGCCAAAGGATATTTTCTTCATTTAAACCGAACCATCCTCTCTATTTGTAATTAAATTATGTCATTTTATAGAGGCACAATGGCTGGCCGAAACCTCTTGTAACCATTCGGCCCATATCCTTCCATTTCCTAAATAGGAAAACATATTTCATTTGTAACTAGACCTTTTATTCAATTAAAGTGAGATTATTCTCTTCTTAAGTCCTGGTGACTTTTTATCGACTTAGCAAGTATTTTATACTTGTGGCGTCACCCCTTTCTTTCATCTTGATACTTCTGGTTCCTAGTTCATCTTCTTAAGTCCTGGTGACTTTTTATCGACTAGCAAGTATTTTATACTTGTGGCGTCAACCCCTTCTTTCATCTTGATACTTGGTTCCTAGTTCATGCGTTTTGACCATCGCAATGGCCGCATCACGCATCAAGCGCCTGATGCGCGCTTTTTTAAACCAAGATCCAACCTTCACCCTAACTCAACATGCTAACGTACACCAAGTCGACCAATAAACTCGAGGTCGACAAAGCCTTCCTGAAGAGCTACATGAGAGGGAAAAACAGGGAAACACAAGAAAATCATTGAGTTCTTCGAGTCGAGGCCCGATTTGCAAACCCCAGTGGGGATTCCGATGAAGGAACACAAGGTTTTAAGCCCACATCGCGCATCGACTGAGCCTCGCGCCTCAGAGCCTTGCACCGCCTCGCTCCTCAGAGCCTTGCACCGCCTCGCTGAGCCTAGGTGCGCTTAGGCTATGTGCCTCGCTTTAGTGTTGAAAAATCCCCGTTCAGTGAGCCTCTGCGCTTTTGCGCCTAAGGCGCCTTTTTACAACTATGGGTATAAAAAAATTAGACTATAGAAAACAAGAAAATATCAAGGATTATCCATGAGACTAATGACAAATGAATCTAAATTTGCCAAAAAGGGAAGCAGCCATTTCCAGTACCCAAGACTGCAAGAATAAGAAATAATTTGTCCTCTATGCGTTTCATCAGTAACATAATTTAGTCGAAGCATAGAGAAAATCTTCTATAAGTTCTTCAAAAATAAACTTGATACAAATAATCAACAGAAACCAATCATTTCGTTGCAAAACCCTCTACAGCAAAAAACGGCAGAAATTTCAACTTAAAACTTAGTAAAGTCCTCTGGTCTGTAACACTTTGGTCACTTCTGAGGACACTGCAAATCTCTAGAGTTCACTAGGTAAACTAGATAAATTAAATGATAAAACAGACTACCAAGAAATAGGGAAACTATAAATATTTACAGGCATTCTCTTTTCCACTTCCCAGCTACCTTGAAGTTGAAATTAACCCTTTAACCGAACCAGATTTAAAAACCGCCATTTTTTAACATTGTTTTTATCTACAATATGCAGCAATACTCGAATGAGAACCAAGAACCAAACATCTTGTAAAATCGGCGTCAATTATTCAGGATAGATTGAACAAGTTAAATCCTAGAAATTAAACACCGATAAAAAAATCACATACCAAGAACCCTAGATCTCACAGAAGCACAGGAGTAAAAAAAGTAATGGAAAAGCGAAAGTGGAAGAAGAGATGGACCTGAACGGCGCTGTGGAAGATGCCGCGAGGCCTATTCCGTCCTTGAAGATCTTGTTGATTTGGAGAATGGTAGTGTTGGTTTTATCGGATCCACTGTTGGTCACATCGTATATGTATTTCACCTCTGTCATCTTAACTTCAAAAACCTAAACGCCTCTCTCTCTCTCTCGATTCTAGACCTAGTCTCCCAAAACCTTCTCTTCTTTTCTTTTCACACTTAAAGCTCCCACTCCAACGATTCAATTCCGTTCAAAAGAAAAGAGTTGGACTCTCTAGTCTTTGCTTTTGCGTACTCCTTGGGATTTTCTTACGCCACACCACAGTGGCAAGTAAAGTAATTCCTTTTTCCGACTCGAAATGCTCAAATCCCGGAATCTCCTTCTCCTTCTCCTTCTCCTTTAAAATGTTTTCAAATTGCTTAAGAATTTGGATTGAAAAGGACGAGATTTTTGAACTGGCCCTTGGAAGTCAGTTAAAATTACGGAAACGGCCATATGCTTTTTTATGTCTATATTTCTTTTAGGCTTAATACACTTTTACTGCCTAAACTATCTCAAATTACGATTGGGTACTTAAAGATTTTTTGCTAAAAATATATGTTTAACGTTTTTTCCGTTACTTTTAAGTGCCATCGTTATTTTTTAAAATTTTAATTTTTTAATAATAATAATATTTAAAAATAAAAAAAGAAAAAAAAAACCACTCCCCGTGTCGTCCCTCTCCCTCCCATCCCCCACCTCCTATGGTGAAGGGTCACTCCCATTTGGGTTTTGTTCGAAGCAAGACGAGGAACTCAACGGTGGCGGTTGTGTAACGTACGGACGACTACAGTCGTCGAAATTGTCGGAAAACAACAATAAAAGCCTAGAAATCTGACGACTCTCGCAACATTTTTCACGACGTCGACGCAATTTCACGATGGGTGGAGGATTGAATTTTGGTTGTGACGGCGAGATGGTTTTGACAGTGTCAACTGTGACGGCCACAAACCAACAACAGTCGATCGACAGAGAAATATGTGAAATTTGGGATTTTTTATTTTAAAAAAATTATAATATTAAGTTTTATTTTAAAATAAATAATTTTTAAAATTTTATATGCGTGAAACGTGTCAGATAATGACTAAATTCAACCGTTGCGGTCTAAGAACTAAAAGTATAAAGTTGAAACGTTAGACACTTAATTTTAAAAAAAATCTTTAAACACCAAATCATATTTTAATGTATAGTTTAAGCATTAAAAAGTATATTAAGCCTTCTTTTTACCATTTTTAACTGATGTACTTTAATTTTTAAATGTGATTATACAAATTCTTTTTATTTTCTTATTTCTTTATTTTGGTGGTATATATATTTTTGTTAAAGAAACATATTACGTTATAAAAATTATATATTTGATTACAATATAAATTAAATTATCCTTATTTTAAAGAATATTAAAGATAATCATTATTATTATCTTAATTTTAAAAGAAATCAAAGGTTATATGTTAAATTTATAGCGTTTGAGTATTTTCGATGAAACAGATATTGGATCACGTTAAGGAGATGAAAAGAGTAAATTGAAAATTTTGAATCTAACAATTATTGACGATGGTGATAAATGGCGACAAGCAATGACTGATGCTAATGTTAAGAGACGGTTGATGATGAGACATTTTAAATTGATTCACGGATTAAATTAATATTTTATTTAAAATTTAAGAATTAATTTTTTATTAACGATTCATATCATTACATTAATAAAATTTAATATTTTAAAAATAAAAAACCTATAAACTAATGACGTAAGTGGTAGAAAATTATAAATGTATATAGATGGTTAAAATTTTTTTTTTTAAATTCATAGATAAAATAAAAATGAACACTTATTAAATGAAAGTTATCATTCCAGTAGTTTGTCCTTGTTTTTACAAGTGTGGGGCACCGAGTTTCTGAAATAATTCGCAGCCCCGAGTTGGATAAGATGCCTTACGCTTGTCCTCACGTTATGCAATTATTTCCTCTTACGCAAACACCCACATCTTTTGCATTTTTTTCTTTCTAGGTTCACTTATTTAAATGTTAGTGTAAGTTATACGGTGACCACTAAACTGTTATTCTTTTTTATTTTGATTACTAATGTTTTAATTCGATTAATCAGATCACCTAATTATTTAAATAGTTAAATTAAATCATTTGTCGTTAAAACTTAACAAAGAAGATGATGTGTCGGTTAAAAATTTTGATATAATTATTCATTTAATCTCTATTACTTATACAAGGTATCAATTTGATCATACTTTTAACTAAATTCAATATATTTAATTATCTAATTAGATTATGACAGTTATCTGTCTATAGTTGAATGGTTAAATTTAATTAATTCACCAATATTTTTCCTCCGATAAGAGGGTGTGTTACCCTCTTATTACAAGAGGACAAATGAAAGAAGGTGTTAGCATTAAAGAGATCTGAACCAGGGGCGCTTGGATCAACATGCACATAAGCAACTACTAAGGTAAAGGGATTAGATGGTTTATGTTTTATGACATATGGTACATATTTTTGTATACTAATATCAAAATTTTAATATAAATTCATAACATTTTATACATCTTAACTTAAATTTATATCTTAATTTTAAAAAATATATTTTATTTTTTATTCAACTTATTAAATATTTTTTTTGAATGAAGGAGAAGCTAGAGGAATTACATCAATGAAATCGTAGGAAAGGAGGGCCGTAAATGTCCCTTTGTAAAACAGAACCGAGTCCTCCTGGAGGAGAGCTGAAGAGAGACAAGGAACCATCATGTCTAGTTGTAGACTTGACCATGAAATCTGCTGGACTATTAGCTTCACGCTTAATCAGATGGAAATCAACATGCCAAGCGTGGCAAAGGAGAGAAGAAGTCATATGAACTTGCAATAAGGGACTATCCATCGAGGCATGAAGCAGTATACAAATAATTTTTTTATTTTAACTTAAAAATGTATTTTATTCTTAGATTAACTTTATATATATATATATATATATTATTATTCTTTTATTAACTTAAGATAATAATAAAATAAATTTTTTGAGTTAATTAAAGAATATTATATATATATATATATATATTTGAAGTTAACATAATAAGAAAATATAATTTTAAGTTAATAAAAGAATAAAATATATTTTTAAAGTCAAGATAAGAATAAAATATATTTTTAAGTTAAAATAAAAATAAAATCTATTTAATAAGTTGAATAAAACAAAAATATATAGTTTTAAACTTAGGATATGAATTTAAGTTAAGAAATATAAAATGCTGTATTTAAATTAAATTTAAAACATCAGCATACCAGATATATACAATATATTGCAAACTATAAATTCTATGGTGTCCTTGCCTTAGTGGTTACTCATTTGCTTGATACCCCAAAGTACCTGGTTCAATTCCCACAAATTCTACTTTTTTTTCATTTGTTTTCTTGCAATGTCACCTTCTTATTCGAGAAAAATAAATTTAAACGAATTTAATTAAAATTAGGATTAAATTGACATTTTGTGTAAGTAATATGAACCAAATGTGTAATTATACCAATTTTTTTTTAACTTAAACGTCATTTTGTTTGTTAAATTTTAACGGCAGATGGCTTGATTAAACCATTTAAATAGTTAGATTGTCTGATTGATCAAATTGAAACATTGATGGTCAAAATGAAAATGAGCAATAATTGAACGGTCACCCGTACAATTTACCCTATATTTTACTCAAATAATATTTTTTACTGTTCACGCTCGTTGTTAAATGTTTCTAGTAATAGAAGAGCAATTTTCAACTTTATAAGTAAGGTTAAACATCTAAAAATTATTTAAAATTATGATTAGAAATAGGAATGGCAACGGGCGGGTTCAGGGTGGGTTTTGCTCGCCCCGTCCCCGAACCCGAAATGAATTCTCATCCCCAACTCCGACACGATCCCTGTCGGGTTTTTTATCAGAGCGTCTCGTCAGGGATTTTTTTTGCCCCGTCCCCGTCCCCGACCCGAAATATTATACTCAAACTCGAACTCGAACTCGAACCCGAACCCGAAAATATTATATATATATAATTAATATAAAAAATATAAAATATTATATATATATATATATATATAATCGGGGCGGGGTGGGGCAGAGATACCTTGCCCCGTCCCCAAACCCGACCCGAAAAAAATCCTCGATACCCGACCCGATATCATTCAAACCCGACCCGAACTTGATCGGTTTCGGGTTTCCTTGTCGGATTCGAGTAATTCTGTCATCCGTAATTAGAAAACTAATTTTTTACATAACCTTATAAGTTAAATTTTCTAGTTTTTTATGTGGAAAATCACTTTTGGTAAATTTATATTTTTATCCTCAATTACTATATTTTTTATTTACAACATAATGTATAAAAAAAATATTTTATCTTTTTAAAACTATATTTTAACAACAATTTCAAATAATTAAATTTTAAATTATACTTTTCAAAAATATTTTTAAAATTATTATTTTACAACACTTTTAAAATTATTTTTCTAAAGCAGTAGTTAGTCAAAAACAACTTTTTACAGAAACTGTTTATTAAACACATGATAAAGTCACTTTCTAAAAAAAAACTGTTTTATGTTGAGATGATATAAGATGTGAAAATCATCTTTTTAGGAAATGTCTTCTGACACCTAAAATCACATCAATTTCAGATTTCATTTGGTGATTTATGGTTTTAATTATTACATTATTAAATTAAGAATTTAAGTTAAAAATCAATCCCTAATATATCTCATTGTTTGAATTCTAGTCCCTAACTTCATTTTTTTTGGGTTAAAATAAGTTATTAAGATATAAAATAAAGTCATACACCACTAATTTAGTTATAAATCGGAATGATAACAAATTTATATTTCCCAATATGAATAAATTAGTCAAATTATAAACATTAAAATTCCTTAAAATATTTTATTTTTGAATTTAGTTCCTAACTTAATGTTGAACACACTTTGATATTTTGATATACAAAAATGTTAAACAATTTTAACAAATTTTAAGATTATATTTGTTTTGATCATTCGAATATATAAATTGTTTTTAAGGTTAAAAAACTCTATTTCACTCCTCATTATTTTAAAAAAATGAG